GCCCCAGAATGTGTTTATTACTTGTGAGATTTTTTATGTCTGGGGTATCGACTTCATGGGCCCCTTCCCTCCATCGTTTGGTAATACATATATCCTTGTTGCTGTTGACTACGTCTCTAGGTGGGCTGAGGCGCAAGCTTTGCCCACTAATGATGCTAGACGTGTTTGTGGTTTTCTGAAGCAGCTATTCTCCCGTTTCGGGACACCTAGAGCCATCATAAGCGACCGAGGCACCCATTTCCAGGGTCAGTTTGATAAATTGTTGTCTCGCTATGGTGTAACTCATAAGGTGTCCGTGGCCTACCATCCTCAAACCAGTGGCCAGGCCGAGCTGACGAACCGGGAGCTCAAGCGGATCTTGGAGAAGATGGTGAACCTGTCCCGCAAGGACTGGTCCACCAAGCTCGATGATGCTCTGTGGGCATATCGCACTGCCTACAAGACGTCCATTGGTACCTTACCGTACCGGCTGGTCTATGGAAAGGCATGCCATTTGCCCGTGGAGCTAGAGCACAAGGCCTTCTGGGCCCTTAAGCTGCTAAACTTGGATGTTAGTGTTGCAGGTGTTGAGCGAAAAATGCAGATGTTGGAGCTGGAAGAGTGGCGTTATCACGCCTATGAGAACACCAAGCTGTACAAGGAGCGCACTAAGCGCCTGCACGATGCACGGTTGCAGGGTCCGAAAGAGTTCCAGGTTGGTGATCGAGTTCTCCTTTATAACTCTCACCTGAAGCTCTTTCCCGGAAAACTCCGTTCCCGGTGGTCTGGACCGTACACGGTCACACAGGTGTTCCCGTATGGCACCATTGAAATTGCTAACCCGCAAACTGAGCCGTTTAAAGTGAATGGTCATCGTCTCAAGCTCTACCTGGGAGACGAGGTCGAACGTGCGGATTTAGCAGTGGACTCGCGGACCCTTAGTTCCGCAATTGGCGTCCAGCTAAAAGACGGTAAAGAAGCGCTTGTGGGGAGGCAACCCCACCACGGTTTGACTTTCTTTCTTGTGTTTTGAGTCGGATTGTAAACCAGTTTGGTTTTGGTTTGTTTTCTTTTGTTTTGGATGATGTTTTATTGGGCTGACCATAACATATTGTGTTTGAGCTCTTTGGTTTCCTTTGGCTGTGCTTGTCTTGACTGGTACTCTCTCCAGTCCGCTTCCAGTCTCCTGCAGTCCGTGCATACCGGTAACATCTTTCCCTTTCCCTTCCCTCTTCTCCATTGAGGGCAATGTCGATCTTAAGTGTGGGGGGATGTTTATCTTTTGACTGCATTAGATCTGTTTGTGTTCTTGGAGCCTAGTCCACTGTCATGTTTATCTTTTGACTGCATTAGATCTGTGTGTGTGCTTGGAGCCTAGTCCACTGTCCAAATTTTTAAATTTGAGGGCTCCAAGTACGTGTTTCCGTGCAATTGCCTGCTCAGTATGCTTTGAATTGGCAGTCTCTATAGTAATATGCAACCTAGGGAGGTAGTGTAGCACTATGGAGGATGTTGATGCATTTAAGAAGTCTCGTTTCTTCTTCATATTGTGTTGGTTGATTGAGTGAATTAGTGATCTTAGGAACCTTGAATTGTGTGGTGTTTTGGATTCTCTACCTGTCATGGACTCTTGTATCATGTTTTGAGTTTAACAGGTGCTCAAAAATGTGCTTCAAAATAACGTCTCCCGTGCGAATAGGGCGAAAGTGTGTAAGGGGAGACGGGAATTCGTTCCCAATTTCCACCTACTACCTCCAGCCCCCTTACATGTCTTTCCCCGCACGAGGCTCGAGACATCCGCTCCTGGCATGGCCGGTAAGAGCAGGTTGGGACCCTTGAAAGAAAAAAAAAAGAAAAAAAAATAACAGAAAACAAGCAAAACAGAAAGAAAAGGGGTTCCAACCATCTTCAAGAAGAAAATAGAGCACCTTGAAAAATGTGAGTCCATGATCCTTTGTTTTTGAGAATCTCTTCATCCACAATTCATTTGTCCTCTGTTCACTGTTTGTCATGATGCCGACTCGATACTAGTGCTCTCGCCGAAGAAGCTATGAGATGACTTATGCGTCGGTTGACCTCGTAAGCTGCTAAATGATCTAGGAAGTCCTCTACCTATGATCTGGGTTGTTTGTTGCTATAGAGGTCTGGAGAGTTGCATTGGTTTGAGTTAGGTTTGCTTGGGGACAAGCAAACGGTTAAGTGTGGGGGGAGTTTGATAGACCATTAATTACACATGTTTTCACCCTTGTTCTTACACCGTTTGAGATGTGGTTTCTCGTGTTTTAGACCGATTTCACGCTAGGTTGTGCTTGTTTGTGATATTTCAGGTCCTGGCAAGTGAATGAAGGTTTAGGAGCGAGTTCGGGGTCGATTGGGCGAAGATCGGGCGCGAGACAAGTCACAAAGGAGGTCACACGGGCACACCCACAACTCACACGGCCGTGCAAGTGACCACTTTGGCCGTGTGAGATTGTGCGAGAGCAAACACGGCTTGCCCTGATGTTCACACGGCCGTGTGAAGGAGTGGTTTGGTCGTGCGAGTTTCACCGAGAGCAAACACGGGCAGATGGAAATCTCACACGGCCGTGCGACCCTGGCCGTGTGAGAAGCCTGAAGATCGAACTAATTGGAACGCAGCGTTTTGACTCACACGGGCAACTGGGTAAGCCACACGGCCGTGCCACCCTGGCCGTGTGAGTCGGGATTTTCTGCTTTTAAGTAGATTTTCAGCCACAAGTCGAGGGGATTCGAGTTTTTGAGAGAGAGAACGATTCCTAGAGAGAGAAAGCGACGAACAAGAGTCTCCAAGTGCCCTAGCTTGATCTTCAACACCATTGGAGGCCAGTTTGAGCTTGGAGAAGTGCCGATCAACATCCAGGAGCAGGAATCCATCCTTCACAGTATGAATTCCGCGTCTGATTCTACTTTTGCTTCTTTCTCCATGGAGTAGTTCTCCCATTCATCTGGGTATGGAGAACCCTAGATTTGTATGTTAGGTTTGATTGTATGAACCCAAGTACTGATTCTATGATTTGATTATATTCGATTGAGGTTTGAATGATTGAATGACTTGAATCCTGATCAAATTCCTGTTGTTTCTACTTTAACCTAGAATGAGAATATCTGCCTAGGTTGATAGAGCATCCTTGATTGAAGGTAGGGAGTTGGTGACTTTAGTCGAGGAGCCCACTCACTATTCTGTATCGGATTTACTCCGGTAGTGGAGGTTTTGTTTGTTAAGGCCTCAATCTGTTTACTCCGGTGGAGGTTAGTCGCCCTCTAGAGATTCAGATTGAGAGGGTCTGAAGACCTTTAGTCGAGACTTCAGGCTGTTTAAGAACCTTCCGCAGTATAACCATCATAGAAACTGAACTTGGTAATTACAATCCGGCTTAACTGCAGTCTAGGGGGAACCATATCCGGGTGACCTCTCTTAACCTGAATACAACAGTTTACTTGCTCTGTTAGTTTGATAGTTTAGACTTGCATTCCAGTTTCGTTGCTAGATAACAAGAATTCACTGAGCAGTCATCAGATCTAGGACCCGGGTTGATAATTAAACCTAAACCCGCTATACTACGCTTTAGGAAGTGGTTTCACTTGGCCAATTCCTGGAGTGACAGTAGAAGTGAGTCAGTCCACTTTTGGATTGCACAGATCTTGAATATTCTTCTCTTTAATTTAGAAGGGATTTCTGTAGCATCAGAAGGATAAGGATTGGAAGGAAGGAAAAAGAAGAGGGGACAGAGGAAAATTATAGGGGTGGGCAACGGAACGGGACAGGATACTCGTCCTGTTTAAAACAGGTACTCAATCCCATTTGAAGAGAAATCTCCATCCCATGTCTCAAACTCGGACGGGTTAACGGGTACCCATTACCCATATGGGACAGATAACGGGTATCCATACTACTCGTAAATACCCGTACAATAGACACATCTTTGTCTTTCACTTTTAATTTTAGATGTCTGCTCTGCCATCCATTATGTAATGCAGATGCATTGTTCACTAACCTAGAAGGTTTTCTCTCAAGGGGAGGTCTATGCTGGTGAATCAAACCCTATTTCAATTAAAAATATGTTCTACACTTGGAGATGATGGGTGTCGTACTAAATACTAATCTTGGTGATAAACAACAACAGCAGTTGATGAATCACGTATGAGCTCCACCACATCAGCAGTGCAAGGCCCTCGGCTCCTCAATCCCACTCCTGCTTTCTTTCATCTCCACAATCACCAACCTCATCATCGTGAATTAAATTGATTATGTTATATATATACACTCTATGCTAACCTCTATGTATGATGTCAATCCCTTTTGGACTAATGGGTATAACGGGTACCCGTATTACCTAAACGGGTACTAATGGGTAACCCGCAGGTACCCAAAATAGCGATTCTTGATCCCAAGTCCCATCCCGTAAAAAACATTTTCGAGTATTTGGGTACCCGTAACTTTCAAAAAATGGGACGGGTATGGGTATACCCAAATACCCGTTTCCCGTTGCCCACCCCTTAGGAAAAATGTCCAGTTTTCTTTAATTTTCAATTTATTATTTATTTAAATGGGTATTGGCTGCAATGTCATCCTACTTTTTCTAGCTCAGCAATTAAATTGTCACGTCAGAGTCAACTGATGGTCAATTGGATGAAAAGTTAACGGATTAGCTATTATTTTGTTTAACATCAAAAGTTTGGCTAATATATTGTATTTATCCTAGTTTTTATTAGACTTTTCTCACCTCAACTTCTCATCGTCAATGTTTTCAATCATGGAATTAAACCTACATCATATAAAAATGTTCAGGTTTATAGGTGTTCGAACCACTATTTATATGTATATATTTAACTATTAATTACGTATGCAATTATTTGATATTCAGGAATACTAATACCATACCAAAATATTTGGGATTAGGGGACCAATTTGATTTTGAAATCAAAATTGAGATTAATATTAAGATGTTATTCGGTATTTAATACCGATATACATATACCGTACTCATTTACACCCTACTCATATGGTATGACCTCCAATCTAAGTATGGGTGGCTTGTCAGTTTCTGGTTAGCGACTAACTAATGGTTTTAACCGATAACTGTTAACCGTTGGTTAGCGACTAATCAAAAATCGACGGTATGTAACCTCGGTCGGTGGTTGGTAAGGGAGAGGGACTGTTTGGTTAGCTAAGTAACCGGAGACAATTAACTGCAATTACCCGACTAAACGAAGCTAACTGACCTCCGCCCAATTATTGTCAAAAACACAATTTCTAGCCTAGTTTCTGCGTTCCCCCCCCCCCCCCCCAAATCGAAACCTAACCGACTAACCCTAACATCATTCTCCCTCATTCATCGACCTCCACCTCCTCCACCCTCCTCCACCCTTCGTCCTTCGTCCCTTCTCCACTTCCGCCGCCATCTCCCCTGCCCGAACTTGCCAGTTCGCCCGTCCTCTTCTCCGCTCGACCCCGCCAGTCCGCCCGTCCTCCCCTCCGCTAGCCCCCGCGACCCCCGAATCTCCGCTTCGTCGCTCGCCCCCTTCCTCTTCTTTTCCTTGCTGCAACGACCAGACAGGGCCCCTATCGCCAGTCCGCCCGTCCTCTCCTCCACTCGCCCCCACGACCTCGGATCTTTGCTCCGCCGCTCTCCCCCTTCCTCTTCTTTTCCTTGCCGCAGCGACCAGAGAAGCAGAGACCGAAAACCAAAATTTCGATTGCACGACTAACCGAGCCAAAACTAGAAACAAATCGGTCGATTGATCGGCTACCCGTGCATCTCTGTCGGTCGGTCGTCGATGCCCGTCTAGTCATGGTTCTCAGTTTTCGGTTAAATCAAAACCGACCGTATTCAACCAAGCTATGAGTCACTTAGATTGGAGGTCATAATACATAAACTTATATAGGAAAGAAATGGTTGGAGTTGAAATATGTTAGGTGATTGACTCTTCATTTATGTACTGGTACTGCCCACCACCAGCCATGAGTATCATATTTGAGTAGTGCCTTTCATTCATTCTTTTTCCTGTTTCTCCTTTTCATTTGTTTTTTATGCATCTCTTTCATTGCCATTTTTCAGGCCTGCAAGCGAAAAAGCTACCCCTGTTATGATGGTTCAATTTCAGATTTAACCCAATACCAAAAAAAAAAAAAAGGACAGTACAGAAGCCAAAAACCAAATATTCAACCAAGCATCATAAAGCCTAGCAAGCTATTCACTCATTATTATAATATATTTTTACCGCGACCTATCGCCCTACTACCCCATCTAGTCCCACCCTCGAGTTGTCCTTTGCGTTACCCCCTTGTGTCTTCCACTGAGCAGCAGCAGACAGCAAGCAAGCAAAGCCTTTCTTCATTTCTTTTATCTTTTTACTCTTTCAAAAGGAACAAACACTTCTCCTTCCTTCCTTTCCACTGCACTTTTGTCCCCAAGCCTCTTCCATTTCTCACACTCTCTACTTCCTTCCATCTATTTGACTTTCTGGGAAAAGAAACTCTGAAAGCATGGCAATGGCATTGAGGCTGCAGCGGTTGATGGTTTTGGTTTTGGCTTCCATGGTGGTAGGCTCAGTTTCTTTATCACATCATCCGGATGAGATTTCCAGGCTTCCAGGGCAACCCCACGTCAGCTTTCGCCAATTTTCTGGGTATGTGACAGTGGATCACAAAAAGCACACTTCTCTTTTCTACTACTTGGTTGAAGCTGAAACAGATCCAGCTTCCAAGCCATTAGTTCTCTGGCTCAATGGAGGTAATTGGCAATTTCTTAACCCCTACTTCTTCTTTCTCTTCTGAACCGAAAATGGACGATCTTTGATGAGCCCTTTGTTCCCCTGTGTGTGGGGAAATGCAGGTCCTGGATGTTCTTCCCTTGGAGTTGGTGCTTTCTCTGAAAATGGACCATTCAGACCCAATGGCAAGAATTTGGTCAGAAATGGTTATAGTTGGAACAGAGGTACCTATCCAAATGGTTGTGGTCTGTGGAGTTAAGCCAAGTCGGTTTTTTTGTGTGTGTGTGTGTGTGTGTGTGTTGAATTTGCTGAAATGGTTGCAGAAGCAAACATGTTGTACTTGGAGACACCAGTTGGGGTGGGATTCTCTTACTCCATCGATAACTCTTCTTATCTTGCTGTCGACGATGAGGCAACAGGTGCTACTACCAACTACTAAACCAAATTCCACCCTTCATTATTATTCTCCATATGCAAGCTTCTAGCGAAGTTTTATGCTTGTTTAAAGTCTCTGTATCTCTTTTTTTTGTTGCTTTCTAAAGCTAGGAGCAACGTTGTATTCTTGCAAAGGTGGTTCAACAAGTTCCCTCAATACAGGCAGAGGGATCTGTTCATAACAGGAGAAAGCTACGCTGGGCATTACATTCCACAACTGGCAAAGCTGATGCTTCAAATGAACAGAAAGCACCGGATCTTCCATTTGAAAGGGATTGCAGTAAGCGCTAAACCACAGTTACCCTTTTTTAGTAGTGGGCCAACAAGTGAATTACTTTCTTTCTAAAGTAACAATTCTACAACTTGGGGGGTGTGGTTTGGCAGATGGGCAATCCGGTCCTGGAATTCGCCACGGATTTGAACTCGAGGGCCGAGTACTTCTGGTCACATGGTCTGATTTCAGATTCCACGTACAAGCTCTTCACTTCCGCCTGCAACTACTCCCGATATGTGAGCGAGTACTACAGGGACTCTGTCTCCAACCTGTGTGCTGACGTCATGAACCAGGTCACCACCGAGACCAGTAGGTTTGTGGACAAGTACGATGTCACCCTTGATGTCTGCATTCCATCGATACTCTCACAATCTAAGGTTATATCTCCCAAGGTATTATCATTAAGGCCTCTACTTCCTCGACCTTTCTCTGTATTTGCTTCCACTTCCTTTTGCCTTTTGGGCTCACAGTCCGAGTGGGCAGGGATTATCTGAGGCGATCGATGTTTGCGTGGAGGACGAAACTGTAAATTACTTGAACAGGAAGGATGTTCTGGCGGCACTCCATGCTAGGCTTGTTGGAGTCAGAAGATGGGAAGTTTGCAGCAAGTAAGTGCATTGTACTCTTGCATCGGAAGCTTTGATTTAGTTGGTACAATGAGCGTTTCTTGGATGGGAAGTTCCCTAACCACATCTACTTGTTTTCTGCAGCATTCTGGATTATGAGGTGCTTAACATAGAGAAACCAACGATTTCAATTGTTGGATTGCTTGTCAAGGCAGGAATCCGGGTACTCGTTTACAGGTAAAAGAAGAAGATATTAGCACCCCAATTGCCTTTGTTTTCTTCTTCTTCTTGAGCAGCAAGTTGTTTGATTGAGTTGTGCAGCTTGTAGTTGAGCAAACCATAACATGTTCCTTCTAACAGCGGAGATCAAGATTCAGTTGTTCCATTAATGGGTAGCAGAAGTCTCGTCCATAGGTTGGCAAGGCAACTGGGGATGAACACAACAGTACCTTACAGAGCTTGGTTTGCTGGGAAACAGGTGAAATCCCGAAACGAGTTCTTTGTTGAAGTCCTGAGAATCAGTCATGTGCAGAAATTTGAGCTGAATGTTTTCCTTTCTAACTTGTAGGTTGGGGGGTGGAATCAAGTTTATGGGGAAATGCTATCGTTTGCAACGATAAGAGGGGCGTCCCATGAAGCTCCATTCTCACAGCCAGAGAGATCGCTTATGCTGTTCAAGTCATTCCTGGAAGGCAAGCATCTTCCTGAAGTCTTCTGAGATGCTGTAGTTAGTTAGTGGGAAGGTGAATCCAGACTTTAGTTGTTGAGACTTTTGATTGATTGATTGATTTCATTGTACATAAGCGATATCATGTGGGGTGTTTGATTTGATTTGCTCTCCCACAGCCCAAAAACAGGGAGGGTTTGGTGAGTGTTTGAGTGCCTTGTTCTTGAGCTGTTAAATTTCCATGCCGGGAAAAGAAGAGAAGAATGAAACTAATTTGAAATGAAGGTAAAATGTGGCTGCGGAAGCTATTGATTGCTCCTATAAAGTGATAACTAGAGTACATGTCTACATCCAAGGCAAAGTGGTTTCCCTTTTTGACATATTTTATTGTATCAGCACATAACCAAACGAAACTGAATATGGGGTTTGACCGAACTTTTTGTAATTACTAATTAATTAATATAGAAACAAACACCATCAAGTGGGGAAAAAGGAGGCGTGGTGGGGTGAAATAAAGTATAGCGCAGTATACAAAACCCCATAATTTTGCTATAGGGTTATAGGTATAATATGTCTTTCTATTATGACATTTTATCAAACATGCCTTTTTACTATTTTTTACATCAAACATGCCCCTGTACTTTGGAAAACTTATCAAACATGTCATTTTGTTAAAATTTCTATCCAAAAACTGTTAACCAAGACCGAACTTTGGTTTGGGCGACCTAAATATCTAAAATATCCCTAATAATTTCACTTTAAAGTTTTTTTTTGTTCTTTTGTATAGCCAAATAATTCTAATAATTTCACTTTGATGAGACCTAGAGAAATATAACAAGGGTCAAACCTGACATTTCCCCTCCCATTTATCGATGTCAGGTCGTCTAAATCTCGGTTCAACCATGATTGACGATTTTTTCTATGGAAATTTCAACTGAAGGGCATGTTTGATAGTTTTTCCAAATTACAGGGGCATGTTTGATGTAAAAAATAGTAAAGGGACATGTTTGATAAAATGTCATAGTAGAGGGGCATATTATACCTATAACCCTTTCGTTGTACTACACAATCTGAAAGGATGGTTAGGATTAAAAGGTACAAATCTGATGGTTATTAATACGGGTGGAAGTTTGGTTTGTGGTTTGCAGTTAATCCGCAAACCGCAGCGAACAACACATGATTTGGTTAACCACTAATCGCAATTTGTGGTTAGTGATTTAGTTGTGGTTAGTGGTTATTAACCACATCGATTAAACCGTAAAAACCACACTATCTCATAAACATTTAATTCACAACTTACCAAGCCCAGCAATTCTTACAGGCCATGTCTAAAGAAAAATGAGCATGTATATTCATGAGCCCATCCCCATTCTCACCCATGTCTATAAATTATTTTATTATTTTAATTTATAAAATTTTCAAGTATTCCAAGTAAATAAGATAGAATAGAATGCAACTTATACCGTTACTAACTTTCTTTTGGAACTTGTTTATGAAAAAAATATTATAATGTAACCATGACTTTTCTTTTGTATATTCCGGTTCAAAAGATGGCACAGATAAATAGAAGGCAAAAATTGTTTTGTTTAGTATTTTCAAAAATGAATTTTTGTGGTTAACCTCAATTAAACCACACCGCACCGCAGTGGTTAGTGGTTAATCGCAATTAAACTGCACCGCACCGCGATGTGGTTTGTGGTTACTGTTATCAGTGTTTTATGGTTGTGGTTAACCGCAAAATATGGTGCGGTTAACCACATCGCACCGCCTTCCACCCCTACTATTAATGCGGAAGGTATTGTTGTCATTTTTCGATTTTGGAGGCCGAATTGGTAGGGTGTAGCCCAAGGTTGTTAACTCGTGGGTCGACTCACGGGTCAACCCAGTTTGACCCGGACCTGCCCACAAAAACGGGCTACAACAATCCATTGAAGTATCCTCCTGAATCTGGTCAAACTCGGTGAACCCGAACAATTGGCCGGACAGCGGGTCTGCGGGCTTCCCCTTGAGAGGCGTCGTTTCTCGTTGTGCCTCTTGGTGCAACGCAATTCTCTTTGCTGTGATTTCTTGCAGCAGCGAGCAGAGACCAAACATTGAAAACGAACCCTAAAATCAATTTTGGCTCTCAACTTTTCGTCCTGCCATTCTCTCACGCAGCTATCTTCGAGTTTGTCTCCCGCAGCCGCTTTCATCCTCAACAAATATGTGTCTATTTCGACGACAACTGGGATTGGGGGAGAAAATATGGGAGAAAGAGAAGGGTTGAGATTGTGGGAAATGAAGTGAGAGAATATGGGAAAGAAGAGTTGAAATTGGGGAGCGGAGAAATTTTGATAAAGAGGAAAGTTTTTTCCAATTGTTAGAGGTTTACACGTTGGAGCTCAAGGTGGGAATTGACTCTCCCTACAAATTGAGTGGAAGGAGAGGCCGAATTGAAGAGGAAGAACCCATATATCCCATATCCGACCCAGATTCTTGGAAGAAACACTATAGCTCTGGTGATTCTTCTTTTTGCAGGGAAGGGACGGAGGCAGCAGAGCTCACCTCGGCATGAGGTGTTGAGGAAATTCATCCCCTAATTCCACCTGGCTTCACCATTCGCCGATTGGAGGAGGAAGTAAGGACATAAGAAAGAAACAACCTGGGGAGAATGAAGGGAAAGTACAGAGAGGAGATGGGGGCACGGGATTTATTGTTGGATATTGAGTCGGCGACAGAGCTCTCCATAGGAGTTTGCGAATCGAAGGGGTAGAAGAGCTTCGAAGACAAACGGAGAGAAGAGCACAGATGGGCTCCCAACTATCTCTCGGGCCTTGCTTCTCCACCTACCAAGCCCACCGAGATATTAATTCGAGCCCAAACAACCTAACATACAGATCCAAAGCCCATATCAACATAATCAAGAGGAGTTGGAGGGAGAAGTGGGCCGAACTATGAAGAAAAAAAGGGTTGTCCTTCATAAGCCAAGGAGGGGGCTGAACAAGGGGTTAACGAAGGGGGTTGCCTTAATTTTAGCCCATCCAGTTTTGGTTTTGCAGAAGGGGAGAATGGAAGAGGAAGAAATAAGAAACAACACAAGAAGAAAGCACACATGACCAATGAAGGCGTTCAAGTTGAAGAAGAAAGTGACACAACGGCAACGGTGGTTTGCCAGCCACCTCATATGCGATGAGTATTGTAAGTTGGAATTGTAGGGGATTTGGCCAATCCCTTAGGAGAAGCTATGCTAAGCGTCTTATACGACGTCATGGCCCTCCTATTGTCTAAGGGCATTGCTTTATGGTGAAAGGAGGGTATTAGTATTAATGTACTAAGTAGTGATAAGTATTATATGGATATTATTGACATGGGGAAAATGTTCTTTTGTACTTTTGTTCATGCCCCCAACCACTGTTGTAAGTAGAAGGGAGTTTTGGGAGCATTTGAGTTCCCTTCGGAGTAGTAGAGAAGACAACTGGGTCATTGTAGGGGATTTTAATGCTGCTATCTATTAAAATGAAAAAGAGGGGATATGCCCACTTAGGTATGAGCGTACTGGCCGAAACTTGGTAAGAGTGAGATTGGATTGGGTGTTGTGTTCTCTCTCTTGGAAAGAAGAGTTTGGAGAGACTATGGTGTTCCATGAAAAAATGGTGGATTCTGATAAGTGTCCACTTAGAATAGATTTTCACTTTATAGGCAATAGATGAAGAAGAACATCATTTAGGGTGGATGAGCGATGGCTGGAGAAAGAGGGATGCAAGGAGATGGTTTGTAGAGAGTGGGACCCAGGTGGACCATCTAGAAATCAACTGAGCAGATGGGAGAGAGAATTGAAAGCTTGGACAAAAGACTTCCATAAGAATAGTATTCTTAGGGAGAACGAAATTGTATCAAGACTTGAGATTCTCCAGGAACCTCCACGTATGCAAGAGAATGTGGAAGAAGAGAAGAGCCTCACAGCGGAACTGACCAGAATGTGGCTTGAGGAGGAAGCCTTCTGGAGTCAATGCTCTAGAGTTAAGTGGCTTCAAAAAGGTGACCAAAACACTTCCTTCTTCCACTCAAGCACTATCCATAGAAAACATAAAAATAGAATCATTCGTCTAAAAGATGAGACAAGGCTGAAGGATATATCAGTAGGTTTCTACAAAGATCTTTACAAAGCGATACCTACTATTGAATTTAACCACCTTTTTAAGGGTTCTCAACGATGGTAACTGAAGATATGAATGAGGAGCTTTGTCCTGCATTTAGCAATGAGGAGATCAGAAAGCAGTTTTCTCTCTCGGTGCCAGGAAAGCTCTTAGCCTACAGGAGATATTGGGATACAGTTGGTGAAACCCTCTGCAAAGAAGTTAAGGAGTTCTTTGAGACATCAGTAATACCCAAAGGATGGAACGACACTCACATTGTAATGGTACCAAAGTTTGACCATCCGAAAACCATTGGCCAGTTTTGACCCATCAGCTGTTGCAATTTCGGGCACAAAATCATATCGAATATCATGACTACCCGTCTTAAGAGATGGACTCCTACTCTGGTCTCATAGCTTCAGACAACATTCACAGGCGGACGCCTCATCCAAGAAAATATCGTTATTGTCCATGAAGTTCTACATCATTTCAAGAACCACAACTGGGTAACAGAAGATATATGAAGGCTTATGACATGATTGATTGGGCGTGTCTTAATACTCTCATTAAAAGATATATGGGTACAATGAGAAATTGTGAAAATGGGTTACCGCTTGTATCCGTTCAGCAGTTTCTCTGTATTGTTTAATGGAGAAGCTTTAGAAAGCTTATGTCCTTCAAGAGGCATTAGACAGGGATATCCTCTTTCCCCTTTTCTGTTCATCTTAATGTATAATTCTCTCACCTTCCTTATTGACAAAGCAGTGGAAAAAGATCTCATCAAGGGAATTAAGCTCAACGCGAGATGCCCTACCCTCACTCACTATCTTTTCGCTGATGATAGTCATCTTTGGGAAAGCTAGCATTCAAGAGGCTGAAAGAATTCTGGATATAATCAATGATTATGGGTCAATAACTGACCAGGAAATCAACATCAACATATCATTTGTGTTCTTCAACGTAAATGTTCCAGTTGAGGAAAAGAATGACATCATCATCACATTGGTTTTTCGCCTTCCAACTGCCATTCAAAATATCTTGGAGTCCTGACCAAATGGGAAAATTCAAAAAAGAAACTTTCTACTTCCTCATCCAAAGGATGGAAAAGATGGGGGAAGTTTGGAAGAGCATGCTTCTTTCACACGGAGGGAAGGAAGTACTCCTCAAGTATGTTATTCATGCCATCCCATCTTTCATCACGTGCCTCTTCCTTTTGCCAGTATCCCTTATAAAGAAAATGGACACTCTTATCAGCAATTTTTTCTGGTTAGGGTCGATGCAGAAAAGTTCTTTTCATTGGGGTAGGAAAGAAATCCTCTGTACCCCTAATTCAGAAGGTGGATTGGGATTTCGAAGCTTTAGGCTTGTTTGCTTGATGGATTTGGTGAGGGATTTGGATCCATCACGGAGTTTGT